TTCTGCCACTGAATTTGATAGGAGCAAGATCAGATTCAAAGTGCTTTTCTGGATTGGGTCCTGAAAGCCAACACCACTTTGAATCAAGTGAAAGAGCCTGTATCTCCCTGCAATCTATGAATGTCATATTGTAGGTCTCAGCCACTTAATCTCTAAAATCTGTGAACCAGATGCTACCACTGGGGACCTCGCGCTTTGGGCCAAACTGCACAACTCTCTAGAGGTGTGGATGGGTGGCAGCTGCAAGGTGTGTTAGGCAGGACTTGAAACCATCTACGGTTTAAACAGATCATGATGTTCCTCATCAGCATGGAGCAGGCTTAATCAGGTTTAGTAATGACAGGAGAGGAGAAAACAGTGACTACAGAAATTCATAGTTTAGACATACTGCTAAAAGAATTTCTGCTGCTGTAATTACCCATCTCACATATACACAGCAGGGATTTCTAACTAATCGATCACAAAGAGATAGCTAAATTTTATTTGAAACAGTTATTTTGGAAACTAGTAGCAGTATAATGCTCAAAAGAAGACTACTTTAATCAGTCCCAACTAGAGCTAGTACCGATTTTTTCGTGTTACACATCACTTCTCACACCTGTCACTGAAATAAAGATACACTTGCTGAATGAAACACATCTATATGGTCAATTCAAAACACATTTTGGTGTCTGTTTTCACAAAGATTAAACAAATGATAAATTTAATTTTTAATACAATTTTGTCCACAAGATTCCCAAAATAAAATTAATTTTAATTGGCAGGACAGCTACATGAACTATCCTAACAATTATCTGCACATTGCTTCTTGTACAAATATTAGACAACATTTCAAAAGTAAACCAGTAATGAACCCCAGAAGAACGAACCTTTTTTTTAAAGAACACATGATTGATTCTGAATTAAGTTATGGCCATCTACAAGCTGAAGATAAATTCATGTAAGTGCTTTTTCCAAAAGCTTTTCCACTTTTTGGAAATCAGCTATTTGATCAAATGTACACAGGAAGATCCTTCCCCTTAGTAAAGCTTCCCCTTAACACAAAAAAATAGGCTGTTTTGGTAATAGATTTGTCATAATGATAAGAGATTTCTAGCCCCATTTATATAGACCATCAGCCCATGGATGGAGAATGAAATTTACATCTGAGAAAGCAAAATATCTACTTGGAACAAAACCCACACTTCTTAGTTGCATTGCTGTCTGCATTTTGGTCTGAAGTTGTGTGTTTTATTTATAAATAGTGACAGCAAAGAGGAAGAGGCCACTGAGAAGTTATGGGGAACTGAAAGCTTTTTAACACCAATTATTAGCTCCTGTCCCAAATGTGCTATCTTATTTTTAGAAAGGTATAGCAGTAGAGTGTCTTTGAAATGAAATCTTGGCACAATACATAACCACAATAATCAGGTTGTTTTATTCTGCAATAAACATTTATTTGCACAGTACATCTACCTAACGGTCCTCTCATGTGCCCTCTGCTGGTTCTACAATCCAAGTGTGGTCTTCAGAACTGGGAAAAAGAAAAAAAATCCTTCCACCAATCTTTCCCCTAACCTCTGAACCAGTCTCAAACACTTAAAGATTATGTTACTGACTGCTGTGATCAGTGATGTTTCTTATACATGCACTTCCACTCTCAACAATGAGTTTTGTCAGAAAATAATTTGAATCATTCCTCATTATGATTTGTCATTCTGAAGCTTTTGGTGACAGACAATGAGGGTGTCTAAGCCAGCATTGTATTTTGGATGAGAAGTAGCTCTCAGTCATACCCATGGTGTAGCTAACATCAACCAATACTGAACATTTTCTCAAGCCAGTTCTAATCTCCATTCTGCCTCAGCCCTATGAAAAAACAGCAACTCCTTTTCATATTTCTATAAAAGTCTTCTACCTATACATATTACAGCAAGACCAGTAATAGTAATTCTGTTTAAAGTTTCCAAGAGAAATTTCAGAAAAACTCCTGACAGCATGCTAAACTACAAGCAAAAAAAGTTTTTCTTCTCTGCTTTTTCATTAAAATATACACCCCTTATCGGATGATGTTCAGTACATTTCCTTACTTCAGGTTCTATTCAGGATCAGTTTTCCTCTCATTTTCTGTAAGTTATATTGAAGTTTTAGAAAGGAAGCAAAGATACAGATTTACTTTTTTTGCTGAAAACAGTAAATTATCTGGGGGGTGGGAGGAGGCAGGGGTGAGAGAATACAGACATGTGAGTAACTATTCCTCAACACAGTCAAATAAAGTCTTACCATTTCATCTTTCTCCCACTTATCAGTGTTGCTCTTGTCCTGGTTTACTATGTAACCAGGAGGAAGCCAATTGACCGGGGGATCAAAAATCGATACCACCATACGACTAGGCAGTCCTTTCTTTTTTCCGAGGCGATACAAGTTACAGTTGCTGACCTTCAAGAAAAACATTCTGATAAACCTCTGGACATACACTTACATAAAAACAATTAAAATGCAAAAGGACCAAAACAATTCTAGATGTCAAGCCAGATCTTGTACCATTATGCATTTTCTCTTGTTCTCAAAAGGGAGTTCAGCTTTCTTAATATAGGACAACCAATTCACAACAATGTACCAATATTTTTTTTTTTTCCTTTTTTAAGTACAAGCATATTACGTGTGACAATTTCAATTTAATCTATCAAATTTATTTAACTATCTTTGCAAAACAAAATTATTGCTACTTTTAAAATAACAGTAAATATAACCAGTGCAAGTGTCATTAATTATCAGTATTAATAATCAACAGACTAGATTTGGAATGAAAAATGATTGCTATTATGGGCAGATTGACCTAAAGCTTGGCAATAGAAAGTGTTAAAACAGTTCCATATAACAAATCATATTAAGACATAATCCAGATGTTACTTTGATAGCCTCTAAAATTCTTTTAAATATTTTAAAAGGGAAGGGAAAAATCCCACCTCTCACATATCCAAACATACTTCCTTTTACTTTTTAACTATCACCTTCTAATCTTAGTTTCTCATTTTAAACACCCTTTCCATGTTTGTTTTCAGTGTCTTGAAATTTGAACTTGGAATATTCAACCACTTCCTTTATTTGAACTGTGCAAGTTATTTAGCCCTCCTTATTTTCCAAGATTAAACTACTCAATCATTTAATTCTCAGAGTGATGCATTTTATTAGAAGTAGCATTTAATTCTAGTTACTACATTATGTGGGGGGAAAAAAACAAACAAAACAGACTTGCACATGATTGATTATTCCAGAATTTAGGAACAGCAGCAGTAGAACTGAAGGCTCTGCTTCCTAATGTTTACATTTACTTTAGAATACTTTTGTAAGTTTTGATGCAACAGTTCTGTAAGATTTTTTGATGTTTCATTTTTAGTGTTCTCATAAGATCATGCTAAAAGTTTTGAAGTTTAAGGAAAGTAACTTATTGAGGAAACAAAGGAAAAGTCAAATAAAGCTGCAACCTAAGGCTTTGTGCTGCTAACTCAATCCTTCACTCAAGCACTGTTGTTGAAAGAGTTTCTACTCAATACACCTTTGGTTCAGTCCACCAAACATCCTCACTAACCCAGAACTTTTAATTCTATTAATTCCTGTCCTTTCTTAGGCTGGTAATCAGCTGGTTTAGATTTCAAAATGAACTGCATAAAGCAGTTTCGATCAATCACAGTTATGACAATAATAATCCTGTAGTCCTGTATTTTTACTCTTAACATGCATGCTACCCAATATGTCATCAGTAAAGCTGTGGAATTAAATCAACCCGCTGCCATTCAATCTTCTAGTGAAATTTTTATATATACAGCTTATTACAGCATACCTTTTACATAATATCATTGGACTGTTACCACTTACTTTTTTGCTTCTCATATATGACAGCCGTCCCTCATGAGCATCAGGGTAAGTGCAAAACAAGTATGTAGTGATGGCATGCTTTAAAAATGAATCACCAAGCATTTCTAGCCGCTCCAGATTAAATCCATCACTAGCATTTGAAAGAGTCAAAGCTTGAAGAATGAGACCAGGATTAGGACCAAGAGTTTTTGAGGAGTACCCACTGGAAGGGTTCTTTTCAGAATCTGCTCTGTCTTTTGAAAGATTAATAGCTTTTGAAGTACTGGTCGTCACTGCCATTTTGGGGCATCCATCTGAGGTAGATCTGTTAGCATTTCCATCAAGGTATTTATTACTCAGTAGAGTACATTCATTGCTGGGCTTGGGCTGGTTCTCACTGTTGTATAAATTCTGAATGGGATATGAGGTAGTTGGTTGTACAGGTATTTCCTGCCTGCAGTAATTCAGCTGATTTCCTTGGCAAAAGTCTCTGTTAACTAAATCACAATTGCCATTGGCAAGATTTTTATTGTAAGAAACACCATTAATTGCTGCAAGTTCTGCCGAGACATCAATTTGGAGTTTACTGGGTGACTCATTGAGCAATGTTCTGTAACTCACAGACATTTGGTCATGGTTTTCTATAGAAGAGGTTCTATTAGCACCTTGATGTGCAGCATTTTCAGGGACTACAATTGTGCTGTGCTTACAGTAATTTTCATTCTCTACTAAAGAAGAGTTAGGAATAGAGATGAAAGATTTGCTGTCAATAGACTTTTTCCATCCGAAGTCCAAGTTAGGATATCTGTAAAGACACACGCTGATTTTATTAACAAAATAATATCATCACAAGACATGAAGAGTCTACATGCACACTCTGAAAAGAACAAAGACTGCACCATCTAACTTCAGTATTCACAATCACATCTTTTTAATCTATGTTTCACTGAAAACGGACACGAGTTAAATGAAAGGTATCAGTTTTAAATTCATGAAGTAATGGTTAAGTTTCCACCTTGTCTTCCAATGAAATCAGATATCATAATGAAAAAATACATGCCTGAAATCTGCAGGAAGTGATTTAACCCCTACACCAGCATCAGTGGCTGTTTGAGCTCTTAGTTCTTCTGCCGTCAAAAGGCAGTGCAGGCGATAAAGTATGCTGGGGAGGCAAACTGCTTTTCTCCACAATGATGCAGGAATAGGATGTATAGCACAGAGCTCTGGAACTAGTATCTGGAGAGAGGAGGGGGGGGGAAAAATTTTACCTGTAAAGGCAGTCATCAGATTGCTGCTAAGGGAGGCAACTTGAATTAGATACTTCTATTTTACCTGCTTATTCTGCAAACTTTCCCACTTTGCCTTCCTCTTCTCAGCACTGCTTAGTGGAAGTGCTTTCCCCTTCTGATTCAAATGGCGAGGAGTCAAAAGATTAAGTCTAAAAAACATATGAAAATACTTTAATATAAGTACACAATTAATGAATAAAGCTTACTAGCCTAAACTTTCTAAAAGTGATGACTTATTCTTAGTATTCAACCTCAATGCATTGTGAAGTGACAACATAGTTACCTCTGGAAAAAAAAATGGACTCAAGTCACAGTTGTTATAGCATAAGTACTCCTCAAGAAAAAAAAAGTCAGTAATTATTGTGGAAAACACAAGCCCTCAGCTTTATCCCATAATTTAAAAAACAAAACAAAATAAGGTACTTTACTGTCAAACTACAAACACCAGACACAAATGTGACTGTTGTTACCTTGAAGATGTGTGGTCCACATCCAGCAGTGGCTGGTTGAGATTGGTAAGGTCAAGATTATACTTTGTTTTATAATATTCAGCAAAAGTTTCATATTCAGGGGATGGGAATTTACTGAGTGGAGTAAGATCAGTGTATACATCAGCTACATAGAATCGATGAGGCTGATCAAAATTCCGATACCTAAAAAACCATAAAAATATTTTGGCATATGTTAGAGCGTTCTTCATGTTCTAATGCGGTCAGGTGATAAATCACTAAATCACTCGAGGTTTTTGGTTGGTGGCAACTAATAATTCTCAAAGAGATGTACTCAGCCACCTAACCCACTCCCACCCCCAATCAAAAAAAAAAAAAAAAAAAGAAATAAAAAAGAGAGGGAAGGGGGAAAAATAATACTGGTTTAGGCACTGTGGCCAGATCTTCAGACTCAGACAGGTGAAATACCATAGTTTCATTGAAGTCCAGCAACTGTGTTAATCTGCACCACCTATCAGCTACTTCTACAGAACTAACTCTGATCACATGAAGTCCACCACATGGGTGGACTGTTCAGTAGACAAGGAATTGGCTGGATAGTTGCATTCAGAGAGTAGTCGTCAATGGCTCGATTATCAGACGGAAAATGGTGACAAGTGGTGTCCCTCAGGGATCTGTACTGGTACCAGAGTTGTTTAATCTCTTCATTAACGATACTGACAGTGGCCCTGTGTGCACACTCAGCAAGTTTGCTGATGGTACCAAGCTGGGTGGTGCAGTTGATATGCCAGAGGGACAGGGTGCCACCCAGAAGGACCTAGACAAGCTGGAGAGGTGGGCCCAGG